ATCACACAAATAGAGGAAATAATCACCAACTAATGAAGCTTTTCATTGTTACACAAATTCTCCTTGTCAGGGCCTTAGGAAATGTTTAGAGAACAGTATGGAGAATATGCATTGTAATATTAGGGTGTAAAGGATGAAAGCAATTCACCTTAGCAAAAGGCATCAAATGAACCATTGAACTGAATGCAGTTTAAGTTTTTCTTTTGAGCCTAGAAGAGATGTTTATTGCATCTAGGATGGTTGTATAACAACGGTCTTTTGCAGCTGTGCGAGGCCACATTGGCTGTCTTCAAATGAGTTTGGATAACATCGAGATAGGCTAAAATTAGCCTTTAACTTTGTACACTTGTTGTGACAGCTCTTTGTTTTATCTTACAGCTCCAGAATGTTGGTAGCCTTTTGTGTCTTGACATTCCTGGACAGTCAAGTGAAAAGCAAGCCTCTGCTTTGCTACGCAATTGCAAAGAGACCCATGCCAAGGTTAGTCAAAATCACGAATTCTACCATGCTTGAGGACACAGTTGCCTTATGGGTAACATAATGGACTTCTGATCAAGAGGCCTGGGTCTGAGCCTTGGCTGGGTTGTCATTTTGTATTTTGGGGCCAGACGCTAAATACTCCATCAGGGCCCCTCTCTACCCATAAGTAGGTATTAGTGAACTTTTAGCAAAACTTGACAAAACACTGCCGCACAATCTACCATAGACTAGTGTCCCATCTAGGAGAAGTAGACATGTACTCCAGGGAACCAGTAGATGGCTGGCTGCATGGAGTGGATGGGTGATAATTCAAGGGCTCTTTCCCAAGGTCTTAGGGCATGCTTCACTACAAAATATTATTTTTGAAATGTAGAGGCTCTGAAATGCTATTTTATGCATTCTCTTGGAAACCATAGTAAAAAACCTGAGGCCTGTCACACATAGCCCAAATGGAAACCTCTGTCCAGTTGCTTAAAAGGGGGAAATCACAATCTAGAGGGTAAGCGTTGGCCAAATGTGCACTGAGCCTCTCATTGGATTGAGAGTTATCCAGTGCATATAACATTATCCACCCTTCAAACTACTGGGGTCTTTAGGCTGTCCCCTGGAAAGCATATAGGTTATTACAATTTATAGTCTTTTGATTTCTCAATGGACCCTTTTTGTAGGTTTGGTCTCTCAATCAAGACAATGAATTGAAAGTGGATCGCTTGCTCTGCCTTGAGGTAACCAGACATGAGATGTTGAAAGTTATGAAATGTCATGGACAAGGAGGAGCTCAAGAATGGCGGCATAATAAGGTATGTACCTTATCATTCACAATGATGAAAAACATGGCTTTCAAATTACAAGCTGTAAATGACCAGGCTGTGGTTTGTTTGGACAAAAAATAGTACCTGAAAGGATCAGAATCACCTGTGAGAATTTGTATGGTTGCCCCAATCATATGGATCAGAGCTTTGGGCTGGATTGTTCAAAGCTGCAGGCTTTAGATAACCCAGGATTAGTGAGAAATCTGATTTCAGATGTGAAAGCTGTAGAATAAAATTCAGTCAAATTCTCTTTGTTTAGAATATGATTATTGGATGCTCTAAAAAGAATGCAGAAAAGTATCCCAAAGGGGCTTTTGAATTGAGGAATAAAGAAACCTGGATTCAAATTTAACCTTGGGTTAGTGCTAATCAACCTTTGATCAACTGGGTCTTGTACTCTTTAGGTGATTTTGGATTCTCTTACCCTTAGATTTTCCAATTTTAAATGGAGATTGTTTTCTTATTGGTCTTGATCATAAAAACAAAGTTTGATTGCATGGTGTACTTGTCTGGTGAGCAGTTAGGAAAGGACTCTTGCTGATGTTGGTGATTGCAAAGTAATCACCAAAGTCAGGTGCTTGACATTCACAGTTCTTGTCACAAAAATTCACTACACTCATTCATTGATCAAGGAAAACTTGGGTTCTATCTCTTGAGGTCAAACTCTTTATCTTTAACTTTTCTTTAAGGTCAAACATTTTATTTGCGACAGGTTTACTTTTCAGGTTCAAGGTTTAATTTAATCTTCCCTCTTTATGTTTAAGACTCTGCAGTTGTACCACAGAGCATCTGGTTTGTGTATGATGTCTACCAAAAAATCAACTGTGAAGATGGAAATCTGTGATGATAGCCTCACCCAGAAATGGTACTTCACAACTGACTAAGGAGGAGAAACTGAATTAAAGAAGTCAGGCAAACTCATCTGTGGGAGAGTATGTGATATCTTGAAATAATGTCAAGCTGATATAAGGTGGAAACCCATGTTAGCTGTCAGACTATTTTTCACCAGCTATGTTTTGAATTGTGATTAAATAGAAAATGAGTATTTTTTAAATGATTCTAATATCAATGTATGGCCAAAGAAAAGTTTCTCAAATATGTCCCAGAATGCTGTAAATCATATCTCATCACTTTACTATTTATTGATATTGTGAGAAATTACTTTTTTTGGTCATTCCTGTTTGTGAAGGAGTTTAAAGAGGTTACAATAGGCTTAACTCTTTAACTCCCAGATCAAATTTGTAATTCTCCTTACTGTTAACAATACAATTCTTATGTTAGTTCAGAGAATTTAGTTCTGGATCAACTAATCATCCCCAAAATTATATATTTTTCTTTATTCTCATTTCTTATCTATTAGATGTTGTATTGATATTGTAAGGAGAAATTCTGTCTTGGTCACTCATGAGAGTTAAATGGTTAAGATAACACTTTTGAACTGGCTCACTAATTTTATATTCAGACTTCCAATTAAGTGGCCTTTCCCTTCAAGGTTACCTGGACATCTTGATGTAAAACATGGATACTGGCTCAAAAACTGAAAAATTGTAAACAAGTCTACAGACTATAAAATGTAAATTTAAGGATCTCATGGTTATATTTTTGTCCAAGAAAAAAGAACTTGAAAAAATTTGTTCCCTTCAATTTCTACACAAAAAATGACATTGAAATTTACCGCAAAGTTCTCTTTTCTCTATTGAACATTATGATGTAAATAATTTATCATTTTATGCTTAATTCATGGAAGGAAATTATTGACTGTAAATTGTATTCTATTTATCAATGTTACACAATCATATTTTCAACATGGATTAGGCAGTAATTAATTTTAACTCAAGATGCTTGTTTATTATGTAATAAATATTTGCTCTGCTAAATCTGTTTTGAACAAATGTGGGTGTCAAGTGTAGGATGTTGTCCTTCAAAGATTCCATCTACATTCCCTGATGATGCTGTAGGTTGGCGAAAGCTTGAAAACTAAATTATCGTAGCTACCCAGCCTCACTTGATTTACATGTGTGACTAAATATGGGTGTGTTTGGCTAGATCCAGTTTAGGTCTTGTAATCTATTGGGTTGAAGTGCAAGTCCAGTGCTCTTCCACAAAAATCTTGGAGATGAAGTTATCCGATAGTTTTCATGGATTATTTGATTTGCAAATTTTGACCAAATTTTGTTGTTGTATCCTGGCCTTACTTCTTAACATCAGTATGTATATTCTCCATACTGTTCTACCCCTATTTTTAAGATATTGGCAAAGAGAATTCATTTAACAATCAAGAGCTTTCTCAGCTGGTGATCATTTCCTTTACTTTCATGGCTGCAGTGTTTGATTCACCAGTGATACTGTGAGGAGACTTTTGATGCTAGTCACCTTAAAAGTTTAGAGGGTCGCATCTTCTGGTCCTACTTTGGAACCCTTTTCTTCTATTCATGTACTTTTGATTTAAATGTAGTTTTCATTCTATGAGCATGCAGGAATTGCTACAATTTGGAAAGAGAGCTGCAGGAACACTTCTTTTCTTGAAGTTTCATTTCCAAGTTTTCTCTTTTGGGCTTTAAATCAGTACTTGGACCAGTCCCTCCTAGATATTCTCTTAATGTGCCTCCCTTGAAAGTACTTTTAGACTGTTGTAGCATATCATTGGTCTCCTTATAATTTTCACCTCAATCCCTCTCTACTGTTTGTTCATGTCTGAGTGGACCCATGGTCCTGAGCCAACTGGAGGGCAAACTAGAAGTCTTCTCTCATCTTGTGAGAGATGGAATGAGGATTGTCAGTTCTGGAATAGTCACCTTTGGGGCAAAGGATGGAATGGTGTAGAAAAAAGTTCTTTAGGGGGAGGTTTGGCCACAAGAAAACATTTTTGACAGAGAAGGCCCAAGTGTTAATGTTAACCCTTCTGCAGAGCAAATTGAGAAATTGGGTGTTGTGTGAAGTCCGTAGAGAAAAAGGCAGAGCAATGCTATTGGTGGAAACATGGTAACATGAAAAACACAAGAATAACTTGAATGAAGCATTGGTTGATACTGTGAGGAAAAATAGTGCTCACATGAAAGACAAATCTTTTTGGTTAAGTTTAGTGACTTTCTGAGCTGCCTAAATGCAGAGAAAGGCTGCATGTTGCTTAGAATGATTAGGGAAATTTTAAGTGTCTAGTGACTGATTTGGATACCTTTTCATCATCTTCTCTATGTTACAAAAGTTTACTTGGGAATCAGTCTCCTAATTGTCTTCCTGGGTTGCATTAACAATACTCAGACATTTTCCTGACCTGAAATTTATTTTGATTAAAACCTTTATCAAAACTCTACAAAGTGGAATAATAAAGCAAAACAAGAAATATAGCCTCACATGAAGTTATACTGAATTTATTCAAAAGAAACTAAAAATCCACTTGTTGAGAAAGCTGTCTTGAAAGAGACATGCACATGCAGGGATCCCATATACATCAGCATCAATGCTCTTTCAAGAACTTTCCTCAAAAGATCAAGATAAACTACTGACAGCTTAAAATATTAATGGTCCAGATACAAATAGTACTACTTGCCCATAAATGGATGTAAAAATATTCAACATCTTTTCATTTGAGAATTTTTTTGGGAGAGAAAGAGGATATACAGTTGTTACGGCAACAAGTGAGCAAATTATGGCCAAAACAATCTGACTGAATTACCTTCCTCTATCCTTTAAAGCATTGGCCAGTAACTGGAAGTGACCCCAGTCTCCACTGACAGAGAGACAGAAATGCAGAAAGCAAGGGATTTAAGTCAACTTAGTTAAGATGAAAAGGAATGATAGTTATTCATCATAATTCCTTGAAGTTTCATGGACCAAGCCCATGATAACTTGGATGCTTGATGAAATAAAGAAAACCTGCTTCAACCCTTCTTAATTAATACATACAATACCTTAACCTCAAATAAAAGTCACAAAAGTTTGCTAAAAGTATAAAATTCCCTTAACTTAACCTATTTCCAAACTACAACAACCCAATCCTTCTTCAAAACCATTTCCATTTTTGCCATCTACCCAATATGTCTCTCTTTCCTCCATTGTTGAAGAACAGTGGATGAAGAACGCACTTCTTGGGTCAATTATACTAACAAAAGTCAAGTAGATGTAGTAAATACCCTGGCTTTCCTTTCCAGAGGATTTGATCAACTTGGAATCAGGTGATAGCATGTAACTTGGTAAATTAAGCATTTTTTGCCCATTATCTTTTCCCGACAGATTTGTCTCCCACCAACTCCTCTGCTACATTGATAACTGCTGTATTTTTTTATGTAATCAGCACCAAGCTGATTATTCCATAGGCCCAGGGGCGTGATTACTGAATGCTGTGAGGAAATGAATAGCATTATCAAGATAAAGTTGTGATGTAGGGAGGGGTTTGCAATCCAGTTGTAAAAAAGAAAACAAAGATATAAGAAGAGGAACAAAGAAAAGGCAACAAAAATGAAAAGAATTCCAAGCTACTTATAAGAAAAATAGAAAAGCATACATGTAATCTGAATTAACTAAAAGATCTTCAAGCAAATTTACTCTGCATAAGCAGGGCACTACAGCAGCACCTGGTGTAACAATTGCAGTTCCCTAGGAGGCATATGAGTGAACACCCAGGACCAAGAGATGATGAGAAAGAAAAAAAACAAAAGGGAAATAAAACAGGAACAAGACAGAAAGCCGGCAAGGAAGCAATGAGTTAATAAGGATCACAAAGAAAAAAAAAGAAAAAAATTAAATGAAGATGAAAGAGAGTCAAAGGAACAGAAGAAAGGACGACAAAACAAAGAAATGAAAAACTGACAAGGTAGAGCCAAGGAGTAAACAAACTAAAGAAATAGAAGAAATGAAGAAATGAAAAAGGGGAACAAACTGCATACTTACATGTTCCCTGCAAAGGTCTCAACACCAAAAACTTAAGAATATCTGACAGAGATAACACCCCAATGCAGTGACCTTCTTTATCAACAATTACAAGACGATGAACCTGGAAGCAAAGATATCAAAAACACTGTTAGAGAGTTTCTTAAATTAAAAAAAAAATCGCAGACTAGAATACATTTTGATTGTGATTCCCAAAAGCATTGTAAGTGACTAGCCCAGGCAATAGCGAAGGAGACTATATACTGAACAGCCTAGCAGTTTATACTATCTTTCTAAACTGAGCAGCTGGCAGGGTTAAGTGCGCTAAATGATGAGCAGCAAAGAGGCCTGAAGAAAAAAAAAAACCAAAAACATTCAAAACTATTATTGTCACATGGCAAATGCTAGCCACCACATTGGAGCACATAACACCTCCAGCTATGCAAGCCACTATGTTGCCTACCCCTGCATCAGTTAGTCTGTCAATAATGGTGTGTAGTGTTTCATCCAAGCAACATGTATGGACTCCTTCAAATCCCTGCAACAAAGAAAATATTGTTTGAACAACTTTATTGCACCATTACGATTTACTGAAATCGGTAATGGCTGAGAGACATTTAGTCTACAGATGCAGCTTCAGTCCAGTGAACTTCCTTTGTAAGGAAAATTGCCCCAGTATCATGTTAAAAATGCCTGAATCAAAATGTCTAAAGCAGGGCAGGAAAATACAAACAAGCAGTTGGCCATTGGTTTCAGATTTGTACCTGATCTGTTGAGAAGGTGGAACAGGTTTTCTAAATTAATCACATAGCACAGTTGAGCAATAACAACACAGTCAAGGATTACTTTCAACATTTGTTCCACAATCAAGAGCTTCCCTGGTTGATGATCAATTCCCATGACCTAAATGTTTGATTCTGGGATGTTGTTGAGGGAAATTAGATGCTAGTCACTCTTTAGGGATCAAAAGGTTAAAGTGCATTGTTTAACAGTAAAACAATAACATTAAAGAATGCTTGGATATTTTGCTATTCCATTTATCACTCCAGACTTACATCTGCTCTGTGTTCAAGTGCCTTCTTTACAGTAATATCCAGGTTATTGTAAGTTTTCTCAGCAGCCAAATTCTACAAAGAAAATACAATCATCTTTGGTTGAGAAAACCTCTTCAACACTCAATTGAATACTACTCTATTTTGATTTAAAATTGTTGAATACTTACAATAACATCAAATCTTGCATAAATATCAACTACAACCCCTGAAATAAAAACAAAGAACATTGAAAAAAGGTTCAAATTACATCTCAAGTTTCAAAGTTCATTTGAGAATGATATCAATAAGTGAAAAATTGCTATTATCACATGAAAAATTCTATTCAATATTTAAGGAGACACCCCTACCCTTAGTCTGAAGTTTTTCTTAAGTTACCAAAGAGAAAAAAAGTATATCAAGCAAATGTTGACTAAACAGGCTTGGTTATTATAAGATTAATTACAGTGCCACAGTACTACAACTTAGAATAAATGTTTATCAAAGAATTTTGCATCACTCTTTTTAAGAAAATTCTTGACTTCAGCTTGTCTTTGTTTCCTTTGTTTAACCTTCCTCAAGAATGAAATCTTATGAATGAAAACAGAGAAAACAAATCATACCACTCTCGTCAACCACTGGTAAAGCAGAAACTCTCTTTTCAGAAAACATATGGAAGGCTGTTATCAGTGGAGTCTCAGGAGATATCTAAGAAATAAAATTACTCACATTTAAAGATAAAAGCATAGACTTTCTAATTCTCTCGGATCATTGTCCACAGAGCAAGCAAAACAAGAGCCACAGAAACACAAAATTTTTCCCACACTGCCCTCATTGTCACATGCTGGCTTTCTAAGAAATGATACAGCCAAACTAAAGACCAGCATATCTAAGGATTGTTTGTCAATGTTAAGAAAGATGACAGAAAAATAGGAACAGCAGGCAGGATAACATTGAGTATATGTATGCGTCATATTAAAAGACCAAGGTAAGTAATCAGAAGGGGTCAGAAATTTCAATAGTAATTGTGAAGTCTTGAGCAAGTATTAACCCTTAGTGTAAAACAGAGATAGCAGCAACGAAGGGTCCACTTGTATCTGAGTTTAAGAGGCCCTTCTGTCATGGTGTCTAGATTCTGATCAGGACTAACATGCTCGCTTTCCTTTTTTCACTTCCATTGTGATGAAAATCATCATGACCTCATATACCCCAACTAAACAAACAGGGAGAAATACTATTGTAATGTGATGCAGCCATAGCCATTTACACTATGAATACCTACCACAGCTACATCATGGTGCGTTCCAATTCCAAGTTCTTTAAGTGTGTTATTCATGAACTCTGGTGGACTGGTTTGTGTCAACTGTCAACAAAAAGTCATGCACTTATTTGAATACAAGTTGTTAAAATTTAGCTTACTACTAACAAATCCAATTACTTTACACTGATCACTGGATAAAACATCATCCTTATTTCAATTTTCCACCACACCCTTCCTAAAACTTGGAAACAAACCCCACAGCATTCCTAACAGTCAACCCAGTAAGTATCTATCACATTATATTATAGGCATGCATTTGGTAAATACGCAAAGATTATTCAGCTATGGGTTTCTTGATGATTAACCCTGTTTTTGTTGGGTTTTTTTTTAGCTTTGTCAAAAAGTTATATCCGTATAAAACACCATGGCTTGCAAGGTCATTTATATGTCTAGTGAGGCTACATGAGTCTGAAAGCCTGAATGCACACCACCTAGCCACTTAAACAATCGTACATGTGCAGACGTTTGACTGTTGTGTTCTTAAAGCTACTGTATATCTCAACCTTTTAAACTTACAGATGAAAACATGAATCGCAGGATTCTCTTGTGGGTCAGGATATAAAGAGCATTTCCTGTTACAGGATCAAGTACAGGAAGTCGATGGATTTTATGCTCCACCAATGTCTGGACAGCATCAAGTAGACTGTAAAATAATGTTAAACCACAACTTACTTCAGGTGTATATGTAGCTCACTAACTTTGAAACAATATTAGTCTTTCTTTACTCAGAGATCGTTATTGTCAGTACCTCTGCATCGGCGATATTTGAATCAACTCAGGCCTCAAGTTGGAATCATCATAATCTTCACAGGAAAAAAAAAGGCATCAGAAACCAGAAGTTATGCACAATAATATTGCAACCACAGTTGTAAAAGGTATGTGGTGACAAACAGGGCGAGTTTCTAAAAATCTGTGGTGTTACATTGGTGGAGGTACAACAGGATAATTTGGTTTTACCAACTGAGTTGATAAGTAAATGTAACTTGGCCACTGTAGAGTGTTCCCAAAGCTGATACTTCTGCAGAGCTAATGCTTGAAGACTCCTAAGATCTCATTTATTTTAAAAAGTAATTCTCCTTACTGTCTGCCATACAATTCTTAAGATGTTCTTATATAGAATTTGGTATTGGATCAACTAATAATCCCCTTGTTCATATTGTTCTTTATTCTCATCACTTGTCTGCTTGAGAGTGTATTGATATTGTAAGGAGAAATTCTGTATTGATCACTCATGGGAGTTTAAGGTTTACCTCGAAAAGCTTGAATATCATATTCCTCTAATTCATCTATTTGGACCTGAAGAATAACAAAAGGTTATTGACTTTAGATTAAAACTATTACTTCTGTGCAATGCATGCCTTGTGCACACTATAGTATAACCAGCACCTATTAATTCAATACAGCTCTTACCAATGGTGATTTGTAATAGTGGCGAAGAATGTTGATGAAGTCTGAAATAGTAAGCATTCCTGCAAACCAGAGCAGAACACATTAACTTTGTAACAAAGAATGTTCTCCATGTTGTCCATTTGTACATAAATACAGTAGAACACAAAAGAGAGAGTTGACGACACAAAGTCCTGTTACCAATGGAGTCCAATTTGGTCTGTAATCATACAACTGATTAACAAAATCGGGTAACTGCAAGGTGGGACTCAGATTTTTTAATCACTTGTTTGGTTACAGAGAGAATTGATGACACAAAGTCCTGTTACCAATTAATCAAAACTATGACAAAATTCAAGAAAGAAACTAGGTCAAACTAGGCATCAGCTTTACGTTTTCATGAAAAAAAAATAACTCAGCAAAAAGTGAGACAACAATGCGAGCACATGACATGTTCTGTCCACTCACACAGCTACGGAGTGTTAACTGTCCCTTTAACTCTCCTATGACACTGTCCAATTACAAGCATGACATGTACACTGTCCTATTAGAGCTCAAATCAGGCTGGTAATAACTAATCACATTTGAGAATTTTTTTATAGTTTTTGATTGACCTCGAAAAAGTTCCAATTTCCCTTGATCCTGTTTTTTCAGTCATTTACTAGCTAACTCAAACCCCTGACAACCTCAAACCATTTTTTTGTTTCCCTAGGGAGTTTGAATTAGCAGGGTTTTACTGCAGCCTGTTCCAAGTTTTCAGCAATTAAAACAGTACAAGTAAACCATGCAAAATCAGTGTGAAATAGTAAATAGCTTCAAAGAAGCAGTAGAGAGAAAACAGAGGGAGGTCTGGATCTGGTTGGGTCCACTTACCAACAAAGGTATGTTTTTCACTGTCCCACAGAGGTGCAGATCTAACACCTAACAGAAAAATACAAACAAAACATTTGACATCCAGCAAATAGTTTAATCTTGTCTCATGACTTAAACATTCTGGTACTTAGGGCATAAGTCATGTGAATAAGCTCAGAGACTAGACATTAATAATGCACATATTTCAAACAAAGTTGTTCGTAGAGTGCTTACCATTGGCAACCAGTCCAAAAAATGCTTTCTTAACCTAATGCAAATAAAATTTAAAAATTAATTATTAAATATTAAATGCAGCTTAAGACAACAGACATACATTTTAATGACATTTCAACAATAAGACAGACACAACAACAGTGCAGTACTATCAAGTGACTTAGCTCACCCTTAGCTTGGTATCAAACACTACAATCTTGGAGCTTTTCGGCATGATGTCGTAACAAGTTCTTGTCTTGAGAAAGTTGGTATACATGTAGGTTTCATCCTCATCTGACAAGAAGGAGAAACGCAAATGTTTATAAGGGATATTGTACCACAACAATCAATGAGAGAGAGGGTGCAAGTTGTCACTGTTGAAGGCTAAGACGTGTAGATAAAAAAATCTGACAGTTACTTTTAAGGGCTGAAAGAGTCCAAGGTTTGGTTATGAGAGAGGCCATTACAATTGTACTGTAGAACTTGACATCCCACAACCCTTTCTTTTAAACAAATCCTCCAACCACAAATTGAAAGAAAATAATCAATTTGTCAACTATTCAGAAAGTTTGGAGAGGCCAACTTTAAGTCCTTTAAGGCATCATTGTGGCAACTGTTTGCTACATGTTACCTTTTTTACAATTAGATGCCATACTGCTGTGTGTTTGTTCAGTAATAGGTTACAGATGAGGTCAGCTGGAACTCCTTTACAAACCTCTTAAAAATTAATGTTTTACATATGTGCAGTCTGGGCCAGGGTTTTGGAGGGCAAAGTACTGTTCAACATTCCATAAAAAAACTTACTAAACTTACTAAAGATTTTTTAAACATTTTATGATAAAAAAAATAACTTTCCACAGAAATACACTATAAGACAAATTCACCTGATGTTGCATATTCCATCATGTCCTCCACATCATCATCTTGAGCCTTAAAAAAAAATGTTTAAACATATCAAAACGGGTACATTGAGCAGAGCTCAATATAATGGCTGGTCAGTGGACAATGTCTGCTCAAATACAGGTTTTTTCCACTCAACTTTTTGGATGGCAGGACATTTTGTCCTATTATCTGTAAACTTAAAGAAGAATTTAATTCCAAGCTAAGTTCAGGTTTGAAATACCACTACATATCAATTTTTCCTGCATTGAGCTTAAGACTGCATGTACAATAAAATTGTAGTAAGAATACTTGTTTTATAAGGAGGATGGGATTTCTTGAGATATGATAATGATATGGTACAGTAATTGATGTTTGTCAAGCCAAAAATGCCTCATATCCAAGCAAAAATAAGTTTGACTGGATAACTTGACTGACACCAGCTAAAAAACAATTTTGAGACTTGTTGTGAAGTACATGTACTTTGAAAGCCAAGCATTCAAAAAGAAATTTCAGATTGAAAGCTCAAAAATTTTTATCATTTGCTATTGTCATGAACTCCCTATTTTGCTAAACCAAAATACACTGTAGCTCAAACTTACAAAGACTTGACCTGCTCCTCTGCCATCATCTGCGATCCCTTCATCAGATGTCACCTCACCCCTGGTCTGCCTCAGTTCCATGAGTTTCTTGCTTGGTGAACGTGACAAATTCTGGATTTCAAATGGCTCACTTTCCATCTGTTCCTCTTCCAGACCTGCTGTTCTTGGCAATGAGCTACTACGAGCAAAACTCCCTGATGGCGAATCTGAGTTTGTTTCAGGGGCTGATGAGCTATTTGACCTCTGCATCTGCTGAAGATAGTGCTCAACCTCGCTGGTGTCACTTTTTCTGTTCCACTCCAGGACCCATTCCCTTGACGACTGTTGTTCTTGCGGCAAACCATCGTCATTTGAGTTGCATGATTGTGGATAATTCAAGCCAGGAATTACAAATGCATTGTGGTCATCATTAACGTGTAGATTCTACCAAAGGAAATATGCAAAAGCATTCAGTCAAAAAGGAATTGTTGTTGGGTGTTACACCTCATCTGGCCTGAAATCGGCAGCACATATTTCTCCTTTAAGAGCATCACTATAAATACCCCATGCAACAGCAGAAAGTATTGATGCTAAAGCCATGCAGTATCAAAATTTCTAAACACAACAAAATGACATTTTTTGCATGGTTACATGTTTGGAGAAATTTGTATGCATGCTGGTGCAAATGCCATTTCTTTAGTCCAAAATGGCATCAAACCCTTCTTTTACATATAAGGGAAGGTTAATAAAATAAAATACGTTATTATCAGATGAAATTTTTCAAATTCACTAAAAAATAATAACTTACAACAGATGCAGAAACTGTGATAAAATTCAGTGAAAAAGTTATTTTCAGTTGACAAAAGTACACACAGATATATTTAATAGCTAATTCATGAAGAGAGATACATCAATTGTTTAGTAATTATTAAATGTTTTATCACCAGTGGTTTACGGAAAACATGCAACATGACATCTAGACATTGTTGGTAATAAGGAATTGCATATTCTTCTGTAACTGCATGAAATTAAGTTTAGTTATTGTAACAGATAAAAATACGAATACAATTTACATTGTTCTTTTGTAGATTAATACATTCTTCTAAAGCAAAAATTTTAAGACAGCAGCTGTAGTTAGGAATTGACTTTACAGTTGTATTACAAACCATTTTTAGAATTCAAGCATAAGTGTCATTATCCTATCAGACATTACTAACAAATTTCAAGTTAGTTCAAGTAAATGAGTGTTTTATCATTATCACAAAAATCATCATTATTTCATTATTTGATGGATGTCACCTTTAAAACACTAAATAATTCCCCCATGAATTATAATTAACCCTTTAACTCCCAAGATCTGACTGTTTATTCTCCCCCTCCAGCTTTTACACAATTCCTGGCAATAAAGTAGTCAATTTGGTATTAGATCACGGGTACAACTTTCCCCTGATAAGTTTGGATATTCTCATGTGCCTTTTGCTGGATGATGTATGGACATTATGGGGAGAAGTTTCATGTTAATCACTTCTGGGAGTTAAAGGGTTTACGATGATAATAAATAGTTTTTTTTTATCAACCTATTTGTTAAAGTGGCACTTTGCCCATCACTGTTATGGAGAGCTTTGCAGACAACACTAAAATTAACTTACATTTAGTCATTTGCATGTTGTGGCTCATGATAAGCTGTTAAATGGAACAAGTGTAGCATGTTACATCGTCATTTAAGTTATCAATGAAATTTCCATTTCAATCATTCTGATATTGTATACAGAGATCTGATCTTCTCATGGATGTTCAGGGTAAGAATAAAAATATTACTGGGTGCACAGTAGTTAAAATGAAAAATGTGTTAAGTAGAGGCATGAACCAAAGAACACAATTAACTTTATAAGCAAAAATCTAATTGCGGTTTTATCTCCCTACTCATCAAAACAATGTAGTTGCTGCATCAACATGGCATCATTTCTTGGATGGCTTTTGCCTGACAGGTTAGCGCTCATGGTATCAAGTCTACTGTTTCATAAATTATTCTTAAGTTACTCTGACTATTCCCTCAGTTAAGATAAGATATTACATAGTTAATCAGTCAGTAATACAATTTATATAAATGTGGACAAGCATGGGAAAGGGACTCAAAAGACTGAGAGTCTAACTAGAGATTCAACTCATGCTGAAACAATGCACATCACATTTTCCTCTCAAAGTTTCTTAATTTTCTTCAGCTTATCTATTGACAAATCCTTGCATGAAAAATAAAAAAATTATATTCAGATGTTATTATTTATCATGCTACTTTTGCTCACCAATCAAAGGTCAGTAAGATGTTAGACTTAGACTTATAATACTTAGAGAAGGGTTACAGATACAGAACATATAAAGGAAAAGTTCAGATAGAATAAATGTCTAAAATATATTACACCATTTCAACAAGTTCAATACAAATTTATCAATTATTTGTGTCCATATAAAGCTGTTAAATTAGAGAAAATTCTTAGTCTTGTATCTTAGTTTTACCATCCGTCTTTAAATATGAACTGGTGTGAGGTTCCATTGTTACACATATCGCAATATTTGAATAAGGACACAAAGGAGCGGAAAAAGTCTCTTTGAAGTTAAACGAAAACTACTTAAATATTCCATCTGTTTCTACGACGGAGTTAATAACCAAAAATTAATTTTTAATAAAATTATATACCTTTTTACACCAATTAGCATTACATTACCTCCATTTCAGCACTTCTCCACAATCTATCTCCTATTGAATTCCTGTTTCCATACTGTTCCTGTTTGCAGCATAAATGTGTATACACACAAAAATAACTATTACTTACTTTTACTTTCATTAACTTACTTTCTAGTTTACTACATAAAAATGTTGAATCAACAGCTTCAGAAGTAATAATTTGTGTACCATACTACAGTGAGAAGTGCACTTCTGCATTGGTTACAATGGCAAACAAGAATTGCACTTTTTTCTATACAGGACTTACTTGGGAATGGTATTCAAAAGAATGCCAAATAATTTATTTTCAGCAAGTTGAGATCCTTCTTTGGTCAAATAAGGTTACCAATACAAGCAACCCAACAGCCTTTAAGAAACACCTTTAATTTTAGTTTTACATGCTTGCAACTCAAAAATGAGTAAAGTTAGCTGCAAGTTTTTTTTTTTTTCAATTACCAAATTACAATTAGCATATCAAACTTCACCTGTCTAGAAACTGTAACAAAATCTGTAAAATCATGTACAATTCAGACCCAGTTAAATTCTTTTTTATGCTTAGGGTGGCAAAGATTTTTACAGTTTTCTTATGCAGTTCAACCATTGAAATATGGAGGAAAAGCAACAATCCCAAATAATAGCCTTGTTTTTACTGAAATCAGAATACTCTAGCTGTACAAAGGAGTTGAGCTTAGGAGATTTGAAAAATCCTTTTAAATATTATGAAATCAGAATGAATAAACATGTACATCCAAGTACAAGTCATGTTTCATGTATATATTACTTGTGGTTGTTAAGTATGTACATGACTGTATACAGTAACTGAATAAAGGGGATAAGTTTCTAAAGAAACTGTGGTGCTGTGTTGATGGGAGAGTATAACAGGATAATTTAGCATTATCAACTGAGTTGATGACATTAATTGATCAACGTAGAGAGTTTAAAAGCTGATGTTTCAAGCGTTAGCCCTTTGTTAGAGTAACTGGTTCAGTAAGTGGTTCATTTACCAGATAAAAAAGTAAAAATTTGAACTGCAGTATCAACTAGACAATAAACTGGTTCAGCTTAAAGACAGCCAGGCTGAAAATACAATACCAATTGTGGAAAAAAAAAACATGAATCAGTAGAGTAACTCTTAGTTACACTTTAAAGTATGGCTTGAAAATTATTCAGTAAAGCTAGGTTCACTTCACAATAAATATAAACCAGTTTCAAAAAATTACTTCTGATTTCATTACTTCAAACTAAAGATTAAATCTTAACACACATCTTCATTTGGTACATGTATGTAAGCGATTTTTCTGAGAGCTTTTTTAACGGAACCCATGAAAAAAAAATTTGCTTTTTTTGATTCAGAAAAATCACCCTATTCTGATACTAGCATGATGAATCAAGCACTTCTTGAGGGTAAAATCACATCCAAGATTTTTTTTTCAATACATTGAAATGAAAAAAGCTCACCAAACAAAATTTCCAATAATTTCTGCGGACTGCCACTGTGGTGTCAGCCATTTTTTGCATGTGAGAAGATTGGGATGAACCTTGAAGTGACCCAGTTTCCAACATGAAAGCCTTTAGATATAAAGTAATACAGTTCTAAAACAGCAGTAAATTGCCAATGAAAACACTACATGTATTTAGAGGAAATGGTACATCTGTTGGTCATTTAAAGCAGGATACAATTGCGCAAAACAGGAAAACAACAGGAAATCAATATCTCATAGCCTTTTGTAAAACATTGAGTCATGACATGTGATTGTGGCATGATACCTTACTGACTAATTTTTTTCCTCTAATTTCCTGTTTTTTCACATCACAAAAATCAGCTAGGGAACAGAGACCACATCTTTAGAAGTACATCTATCCCAAAATTAATATGACAGCACATTTCTTAAATTTTCAGATGTCTTATTTAACACTTTGTTCCCTGTAATTACTTGAAAATCTAATGTAATGAAACTCCAATTGTGTTTGAACTTTTGAAACATGAAACATGAAACTACATGTTTGCAAAACATGAGAACCTAACAGTAGTTCAAAGTTTACATTTCATAAGGTACACCATTATTTTATTACATGGTAAGTCATTTAAACTCAGACTTGGTGTTAACTGTTCCTGAAACAAAACCCTATTTAATAGCCAAAAAACTTCTCAATAAGAATAGATATTTTCAAAATTAATTTTAGTCATACTTTACAAGGAATAACACTTTTATCCCCTGTTGACCATATGATGAAGTTCAGGGTCATCATGTCTCTAACATGATATGACAGGTAGCTTTAAGCAGTCATTCCCCCACATAAACACGCTTGTAATAGTTTGATCCAAATGATTTTCTGGGGGTTCAAGGCAAATAAGACAAATGATATGTCTCATGTCAATGATTTTAAATAGGCCATGATGATACAAAGCCATTAAATTACAAAAAATAAATTAATAAACACCCATTCAAAACAATCGACTGTATTCTTTAATTTCCCTTATACTTCTATTTAAAGAACTCCTTCTAAAATTACCTCTGAGTCATCAATCAGCAAGAAAACCCATTTTAGGCAATACATTAAATTATAACATACTCCCTGGAAAATCATGCAAAAAAAATTAATTAACTGCTGTAAAATGACCTTTCCAGATTGAAGGTCATACTTTAATTGAAGAAAAACACCTCAGATTACTTTGCATAGGCAGAACTTATTCTTTAGCGGAACAAAGAATATCAAAAAGAAAATTATGTGATTAAAACTGATTACATGACAGTAGAGGTCTTAAAAAAAGTTTTGACTCATAGAAAGGAATTACAGAGAAACATGACAGTTAAACTCATTTATTTAATCTTCAACCAGTGAGTGGGACAGCTTTTGATTAAGAGCTTTCAATTAAACATTGTAGATCAAAAAGCAGAAAGAAAATGTCCATTTTAACTCCATCCTGTAGCCCTTGAGTAGCTATAAAAATCTCTGATCTCAAAATATTTTTGGCAAAATAAGTTAGTAATATTCCTGTTAAGGGAGCTAAGAAGTGAAAAGGTTTTAGAACCCCTGAAACGGTTCTTTCCTTCAGATTCTTAAAAATTCTCAAAATCCTCAAAATCTCTGAACGTAAGGTAATATGTTCAGAGATATGGATCATAAGGTAAGTGTGTGGTGCATCTTTGAACAGGAAATATTAATAACAGTTCTAATGATTTCTGGTGATAGACATTCATCCGTATGGACTGATTACAAATTAATTATAACATTCATTTCAACTAAATTATAAGCTGTGTCAATGTGTAAAGTTATGTTACTTGTGCAAAAAAAAGTCCGATACAAACAAAAATAAAAATAAGCTCGGCCAAGCTCAATTTCAAATAAGCTTTTTCACAGTTTAGAGTTAAGCTCTTTGCTATTACATGCAAATACATAAGCCAATTATTAGTAAACAAAGAGCGATAAGACAGAAAGCTATTTGCATTAGGTGAACAAATAACGGCATCAAGTATTTTGCAGACACGTTGACAGAAACATTATGAGCTACAAAAAACCTTAAGCTGGAAAACGCACAAGTCGATGGTATTACACCTTCAAATCGCGAAAAAAGTTACACTCTTGCTCTTCCCAAATACGCCGATTACTAGATGGCCGAGACCACAGACGACCACATAGATCAAAACAAAAGCATAACAAAAAAAACAATGTATTTATGCATCTATAACTAAAAAAGAACTCATAGAATTTGCTCTTGTAGAAAAATGCTCTATACGTGTTAAAAATAAACTTATTTAGAAGTACTTCGTGACGTTTTATGTCCTCGAGTTGGCGCAAAGTCCACACACCAGTTAACCCTCGCGGCCGTGCTTCTCTGCATACATGTAGCACTAGATTATATATTAACAGGAAATGTGAAAGCTGAGGGCCGTTTTTTTTAACATCAAAATGAGCTCCTAAATTGCATAAATTTGTAAATCTTGCTCGATAATACCTTATCGGCGGTTACTTCCATCCCGTTCAAGGCATCAGACGACATCGTTCGTTTTGCAATAACAACTCCGCGATGAACAAGTGTGAAGATTTCTCTACACAAAACAAAACAATGCATGAATTATATAACAACGCGAAAAAATAGTATAATTCTAAAATATAAACAACTTCAGCGTAACAGAGGGAACCGGATTTGCTAATAAATTTAGAAACAGCTGGAAACATTAATTTAAAAAAGTTTAAATTTTGTTTTGGTGTCGCTCCATTGCTCGGAGAGTAATATCAATTTAAAATCGCCACTTTCTCTCATTAACTACAAATAAATCACCGTTACCTACCAAAGCGTGCTCATCTTAGGGACAAGGTTAGCAATCGGTCGCCACAACAGCTACTTAATTGCTGTTCCAGTAAGCTTTTTTAAGGCCACCTTAAACCGAGAGTCTTATTACGATTTCCCAGCTTAAGTAATACGACGGGCGCCGTTTGGTTCAGCGGTCTCCCTATTTGATAATGCGTGATTGTGTTGGTTGCCATACTAAATTCGTCCCTCGGGTCTTCGGGTGCAGCCACGGGTGTTAAACATGCCCGGGGTCATGCACCAGATTATTGTCATTCTGGAAAGAGATGACAGGAAGGAAACGAACTTGTTTGAATTTTAAGATCAACCGTTTTCTTCCTCTTACTTTTTTTAAAATTTTTTTTCTAATTTTCCGTGGGCAGTAAGGGCAGCATCACTAAGTGACTTTGAGGTCAACCTTGGTCCCAGGGCCCTCCCTTGAAGGAGAGGAAGAGAGGACCCTAATAGTGACGTAGGAGTACACAGCTGAGCCACATGTCTTGACCGTTTTTTATTTTAAAGAAAGAAAACACCAGCAACAACAACCAAGACTTTTTTACGAATGTGGGACCACAGTTTAGCTACTGTCACTGTTTAATTCATTACTTGTAATGGCAATGTTTTTATAAACCCATGCACACAGGCCAGCATGAGCACCCAACTCTTACAACAGCCTTTAAAAATGTATATAGTTGTATGGATACTTCTCTGGAAAGGGATAAAGGGAATTCAATTTTGACTGCAATGGTCATCCCTCAAGAACGAGCAGCAACTCTGACAAGCTTGCACATACACTTATGAATCTATGATGATTGACTCACAAAATTATGCCACCTGGCCCTCTGGGTGTTTCCAGTGATATATAATGGCTCACTGGTTGTTTCTTACAAAATCAACCATTCCTTCTTTCTATTCTAAGCTTCGTTTGTAGCATCCTGGACTTGATCATCATTACCAGTTGATCCCTATACTCATTTGTTGTGAACCATTTACTGCCCAAGAGTGACATGCATCTAATTTCTCCTCCCAGTATCACCCCTGGATCAAATGTCAAAGTCATGAGAATTAAGGAAATGATCACCAACAACAGAAGATCTTGATTTTTAAACAAATTCTCCTTGTCTGCACCTCATTCAGGAACATATAGAAAACATTATGAAGGATATACAATCTATAATAGGGTGTAAAGGGTTGACCCTTTAACTCCCAGATCAATTTGTAATTTTCCTTACAGTTAACCATACAATTCTTATAATGTTAGTTCATAAAATTTTGTATTGGATCAACTAATTATCCCCAAATTGATATTTTCTTTATTCTCATTACTTATCTAGTTGATATTATATTGACATTGTAAGGAGAAATTCTGTCTCGGTCACTCATGGGAGTTAAAGGGTTAAAAGATAATAAACAGAGACAAAGTAACATCATGGGGTATGCTGCAAAGTTAGGAAGGAAAGAAGCTTGGATTGCTGAAGTGTAAACTAAAAATGTCACAGGCAATATGCATTTACTAGTCAGGAACTGGTATCAACTAACATCTGGAGACCAACATCAAAAAATTTCATAGAGCTTTATTTCATAACTTGTGCAAATTTTCATCCCAAAATTCTAATACCGGTAATAATCATAGCATCATGTGCTGACTGAGACCTGAAGTTTCAAACCCAAAATAAATGTATCAATAAATACCAGTAAATCATAAATACAATGGCCAATTGTTAAGAATCAATAACTACAGACCCGTCAAAAACATTTCTGCAGAACAGTTACAGAATTCCTTCACATAACTTACTTGTTACAGGCCGCACATTAAAAATTACAACACACTATCAATATAACACAGTAATACCAAAATGATGTACAAGACTATGCAGAATAATTCCCAAATATCTAAGATGTCAATAAGTATTTTAAATGATGTTACTTCCTATCAGTTGAGGAATTCCAAAAAAAAAAAAATTGGTCCTGCACCAATAATTTAAAATAAGTTTGTCTTACAAAGGTGCTGAGGGACAGTCTAGCCTAACATCTGCATTCTGTAACTTCCTTAAGTGATTTCAAATGCACACAATGTCATCACAGCTTCAACTGAGACAAAACAAAATTCACCAGGAGCCTTAATCAAAGAAGAATTTGTTTCTGAACAAAGAAGAATAACACACAAACTATTGCATTAAAGTCATGATGAAGAGGATGAGAGCCAACAGAGAAATGTTGGGGACACTGGTGATGCCAATGCCTTTCACTTTCTTAGATGGGTCCATCATTAAACAGTTGGAGTAGTCAGCATCCGGCAGGGTGTATTTGTACGACTCTCCCCACATCTTCTCACAAAGGTTCTTACCATTTCCATACATGGCCTGGTACGACTTACAGCTGCTGTTGACAGGACAGTAATTCTCTTCATGTTTGGTGAAGTTATAGTCCACAAGAACATTTTCAACACAAATCTGATCTTCCTTACAGGCTTCATACCACTCATCACAAAAGCCAGAACAAACTGGTACACCTGAAAGGCAAAGTTTCAAAAGTTGTACAACTCCCAATGCAATAAGTATCAAATAACAAAATAGGAACTTCTGGCAACTTTAATCCATTTTTTTAAACAATTGAGAACTTCTTTCATTGGTAATCATTTCTTTTATTCTTGTGAATTTAATGCGTGATTCAGGAGTGTTATATTTGTAAGGAAGAATTAAATGCTTTACAATCTATAAGGGGTCATGGAGTTACAATTAATCTGGGCCATTCATAAAATCCACCTTCTTCAACCTATAGGTACGCGAAATTTATCACAGCATGCACGTTGCAAACGGTTGCAGTTTGTATCAATAAACACCCTGTTGATTACAGGCATATCCACCGCAAACACTGTATATTGTATTTTACATCCTGTCATGCACCAGAGAAATTGATGGCTACTTTTAAGTGTCAGCAAAAGATTGAAGAATATATAGAGTATAAAAAAGATTAACCAAAGAAAAGATGACGCTTAAACACAACGTAAAGTCAAATTAAGAAGGCTACTGCGACAACAGCATGATAACATCTGGCTTTGTTATACACCTAAGCCTTCACCCAATAAAATGAGCACTGTGATTGGTTGATTCTTGGTCACGTGCCCCTGATAAATGCAAATGTATCCTGACCATGATACAATTGTGCAGTTGTTGCCTGCGTGCCGAATACAACAGCATGTTTTTGCCATATGATTGTTTAAGGGAAAGTCTAAATATATAGCAAAGCACATAATGTATGGGTCCCAAGGGAGACTGTTTTGTTTTCCCTCTTGACCATACATTAAGTGTATAACACTAGTCTTGAAAACATGCCTGAAATGTGAAATGCAGAGAACGTGATCTTGATCTCTTGCCAAGATGTCTGCTCAGATGTAAGTGGAAACAATCATACATTGTCAAGCATAGTAAATTAGTATGCTATCTTGTATATTACCTTTCAGACCCCCTTTAAAATTTGGATCTTCATATCGGTAAACCTTGGGAGAACACTGATAAAAACATTCCTGAAAAAAAAGAAAAAAAGGCAAAGTCATTAAAACTCAACAGACAGGAAAGATTCCTGCATGACCTCGTACTGTTCTAAAACAAAGCCGAAGTCCAAAAGGCAGTCTATTTTGGCTTTGTTTTTTTTTTTATCCGAGAACTGTATGCATAATGACATTCGGGATTGAACAGAAATTTTTCCTTTTGGGATGGCATAGTAAGCTTTCAATTAATGATCACTCTGAAATCACAAGACGTTTTCCTGTAGCTTCAAAGCAAAGCATGAACCACTGTGACAGCCATGTCCGGAGCTAGAGTAAATCTTTTTTACATTTGTGTAAAAGATAGGAAAACAGAAAAAGTAAGATTTAGTAAACCTGAATTTCTACTCAATTTATCGTACGCAATCACCAAGTATTTTGATATTCCTGCAAAATTTAATTTTTTGGTCAAAATAACACTTGACAGTTGCTGAAAATCGCGTGACAAATATTGAGTTACCAAATGGTTCAATGTTGCATAATTAGTCATAAATTTTATGCGGAATGCCATACTTGATACTTAAAAGGCTTAACAAAATTAAAATCAGAAGCCGGGCTAGTTGTCCAAATCGGCCTTTGTATAGCTGCCTAGTACTCGAAGTGAATATCAGACCTGCTCTCCAAGATTGTCTTCTGATTGCTTTTGTTCAGAAAAAATCACGGCGAGGCGATAGCAACATGTGTGTTTAACGACCTCTTTCTTCAACCTGAAAACAAAGCATATTTATCTGATCCCCGAGTTTACCTGTTTAACCCAAAAGGATTGACATTTTGCTGAGAGAGTACCACAGCGATGCCAAGAATGGTTGTACAAATTGCGGGTTTCGTTGGCCATCAATTCCACCGTAAAGGCTGCGTTGCAACAACTGCTTTCTTTAAAGGCATGGCAAGTTTTGAACTCGGCTGTTTCGGGAGAGGGCGACTTTTTGTGCCACTTTCCTTCTATGCACTTGTCTACATACTCCTCTGCATTTACATAAAGGGTTTGAAGGAATATTGCAAGGAAAATAGACAAGATAAATTTCGCCATCGCCAGCGCCTTCCTTTTGTTTCGAAGTCCTTCAGCACATGAATTTGTAAGGGCAGAACGCACGTGCATGCAACGATGAGCATTTCAGAGTACGTAAACATGTTGAAGCAAATATCGCTACCCTACCCTACCCTCCAGGGGTATGAGTAGACTATGAGATAAAAATATTATAGATTAAGGTGATAAAATAAAAATTAAAAAAAACCCGGAACACCAAAGCGATAAGAGTTGATATTGTTATTATACAATTTCCCATCTTGCACAGATTTCTTCATCACTCAAAAAAAGGGAAAATTTAATTGTTCGCCACAGACCCAGGGGTAGACTGGGGAATTTAAGGATCGTGGGAACCTGAGATTTTGTGTCCAGTCCTTCTGGTTCTAAAAT